GCTTGTAGTGTTTGGCTTTACTCCTGAGATGATTACGATCGATCCTAGACTAGGATTTATTCTAACTTTTTGAACATTAGCTTCTCATCTTCCTTAAGCCCTGAATCAACCCCGGACACACCGAAGCCTTCCTTCCTTAGATCATGTTATCATCATTCAAAGCTCAAAATAAGCAAAATTGAAGGGGAGTACCTGAAAATATATGAAACCAAGAAAATGGCGTAAGTACTATTACAAAAGCATTACTAAGACATTAGCATGTGCAACTTTAAGGTCTGAATGTGCAACACTTAACGCTTATTAGACCATCCTATACTTATTTTATTCATGGCTTCTTTTTTTTCTTTTTCTTTTTCCATTTTTTCTTCTTTTTTCTTTTTTCAATTTTTTTTTTTTTTTTTTCTGTCAAATAATGCTCATGGGAGACTTGAATTCTTTGCCTTTCACTTTAAAAGGAGAGGTGAATAAGGTCCTTGGTTTATTCACTTTACCCTTATTAAGAGAGTGTTTGGAAGAATAAAAAGGTAACTATAGGGCTATGATGTTTTGAACTTTTGAATTGCCAATAGGTACTCCACAATACTAGGTTGGCATCCTCGTTTGGTTACAGAAATGCCCTTGGGAAAATGTTTTAAGGATGTGACACTTATGAAACACCAATTTAGACATTCATGGAATATATTTACTTCAAAAATGTAACAGTCATGCAACATATTTACTTCAAAAATGTAACACCCATGCAACACATTACATCGATATGCAACACTTCATTACCATTAAATTGAGAATGCAACTTTTTTTTATCATTATTGCATTTAAGATTGATTAATGGCATTATATCCTTATTTAATAGTGATGCGCGGTATTGTAACATTGATTTAATTGTATAACCAAAATAAATTCTGAATAAAAGAATTCAAATTCTTAAGTTAGTGACATGATTGACTGCTATGATATAGTTAAAATTAGTTTGAAAGATGGTTTGTACAAAATTTGTCGATTCAGGGTTGTAAAAGAGAGATCAATTGAATGACTCTTACATGGTATTGGCCCGCCATTCTTAACTATATAGCTCTCAACAATCATAGGAGTGTTTTTAAAATAAAAATAGCTAAATGGGATTTCAACCTTGACCTATAACTTGTGCAAGTGTTGTAATCCAGTAATCCACAATTGCACAATTATCTTTTGTTTATAATACTTTAATTGCAAAAACCATAAACCTTTCCTTGAGAATGCAATTTGTGTTTATTATTCTCAAATATATTTATGTATCCTTTCTTTAAGAATGATATTTTTTACTTGTATTTTTATAAACCCCAATTTTCCATACCAAGGGCAAATTGCTAATTTTGATGATATAACAACCTATTACTGTGTGAATTTGATATTATACTTGAGTATGATCAATTTAAGGATATTTTATAAACTCAAGTATGCAAAGATCCATGGATAAATGCAAAAGCTCAATTGGATCTAAACTCATGGCCAATGGAACACGAAGACATTGAAGATCAAGACCATAGGGTAATGTGGGTTGGTGAGAACTAAATTACTTTTAAAGTAATTTTTGTTGCATTTGATTTGAAAGCTTAATTCTAGGAACTAAAGAAATTAATGACCCAAAAATGATTTAGCCCATTAACTTAGATGTCCCACATAAAAGGGCAAAATACTCATGAAAGGGAAAAAATGCCCGCCAGCAAGATGAAGGCACGTGCCCCAATCCACGTATGACACGATGGCCCAAACAAGAAGTAGATCGACCTAAATATGACGAGTCAAGTTTAATCCATGCATCACAAGATGCGGACTGGGCAACCAGCGGCATAAGAGGCCCATGACCCCAAAATGTAGGCACTAAGGAAAGAAAAATTAGGGCAAAAGGAACAAGATAAAAATAGAAAAAAGAGTGAGAAAAAGAGGGGGTATTGTATGGAAAAACTTTCTATTTCATGTAAGAGAGGATTTATGTACCTACACCTTTTTGGCGTCGTTACAAGTTTTTGTCTGGCTTAAACTGATTAAGCTTTAAAATTATTATGGATTTTTGAAATTGATAATAACATGCTATCAAATCTGTTTTGTGAGCCAAATTTTTATTGTAATTTTCTTCAAATTCAATTTAATCAGTAAGAAAAATTATTGACATAAATTGATAGCATTAAAATATAGCCTTTAAGCTTCCAATTGGTTTTGGTTTTATGAAAATTGGTTGAAATTTGATTTTTTTATGAAATTTCAAAGTGAAGTACATTATGTTAGAAAAAATGTTTCGAACAGATTTTTGGCTACTGGTTTTCTTAAAACTTTACCTATTGGTCAATTGATTGTTTTATTAAAATGTTGATATCAAAGTACACAAGGTTATTTTCCAAACGGCATTGGATTCAGCTCATTTTTAGTGAATTTCAAAAGATGAATGTTATTAGGGACTGTTGTTAGTGTCTTTCCTACTGAGACTCTTGTCTCACCCTATCATTTTTAGGTACCAAAGTCATTCGGAGATTTTAGAGTTGATCTATGACTTGTTATCTTATTTGAGGAGCTTGTATATATTAATGTTGATTTATATGTTATTTGAGGTTTTGTATACTTAAATGATTATGTGATTATCTCTTAAACCAATAATGATGCATTTTGTTCTGGGTGGATTTCTTCAGTTTATTATTAAGTGTATATATATATATATATATTTTTACATGACAAACAAACAGGCAAACATAAATTACAACATAAAGGAATTTTTCCTCACCCTAGAAAAATCTTGCTTAGCAATAAGGTAGATGTCTGCAGGGATATGCACCAAGACCATGTCAGTATAAACATTACGCCGAAAAAGTTTAGCAATAGTATGTGTAACCTCGTTGCCATTTCTACCCATATGGCTAAGCTGAAACCAGGTCAAAGTTTGAAGCGCTAGCTTAATATTCCCTCTGTCCCAAAAAAAGTGTCCTGCTTTGGGAACTGTGACACAATTCCCAAAGCAGGACACTTTTTTTTTGGGGACGGAGGTAGTATCAGAAATGATACATTGCAAATGAATAATACAAGATTCAGTACTGAGCACATTGTACACGATCAACGAGTCACATTTAAACCAGCATTTAGTAAACTAGAGGGACAAAGCCCAAACAATTGCTTTACGAAGACACATCGCCTCAGCCATTGACACATTGCTAGCTGTAAAAGGGCTGAAAACAATCACTTTCAGAATTTGCCCATTCGAGTCTCTTAAAACACCCCCACCCCCTCTTCCTCACCTCTTAACAAAGATGTCGTGGTAAAGGATGGATCGACATTGCACTTAATTATTCCTTGATCAGAAGGTCGCCATAAGGAAGGGGATGAAACATTATCTTGAGTATTAGCTGGTGCACCAAGTGAACTGTTTGATAAGTCAATAAATTCCCAGAATAAAGAGCAGGCTCTATTAACCACAAGATTAGGATCCCAACTTTCATAACTAAAAACAAAGGCATTTCGAGATTTCCATATCATCCAGCATAAAAAAAACCCACCAAACCCAATTGATGTAAACCAATTTTTCCACATCCCCAATGATTCACCAAATCACTCCACCACTCTAAGAATGAAAATGGGCAAGATGAAACAAAATCTATATGGCGATAATTTCCATATGGTTAAGGAATGGGGGCAACTAAAAATAAGATGAACTAGCGATTTATCTTCCGTACCGCATCTGAGACAAATAGGATCAATATGCATTGCACGGTAGTTGGGGGGGGGGGGGGGGGAATATGAATATTGCTAAGTTCAGTGGTTGATCATTAATAAGATGTCTTATATACAAGGGTATTGCATATGTAAATTTTTGTTGAGGATCAACGTGGCGACGCGGGGGGAGGGGGGGGGGGGGAATTGTTTGATGAGATCTAGTGATGTTTGTATCTATTTTTTATGGGCTTAGGGTTTTTGTTTTAAAATGAATGAATGATAAAAATAGATTAGGTTACGTTGAGTTGTACATCTAAAACAGAAGTATCTAAATATTTAATGGACCAATTGTACGTGGACTAAGCCTTCATAGCATAAATTTATCTATATAATTTTCACGAGCCCAAATGAACCTATTCACAAGCTTGTTCACGAACATATAAGTCAAGCCAGGGGCTGTTTGAGATGATTCGTTTATTAAACGAGCTTGAAAATCTTATTTGACCTTGGTTCATTTACTAAGCAAACGAACACAAAACAAGCTCTTAACGAACCGATCATAAATGCAATAAATTAAGCCATATGCATGTCTTGTACATGATATAATATATTTGCATCCTAAATGCAACAATTTTAAATTAATCATGCAACAATAGGTAAATGTGTTAAATTCTTGACTTAATTGTGTTATAGCGTTGCAACACGATTGCATGAATGTTTGATATAATTATATTACATAATTTTTTTAAAAATTATTGCATTAGAGTCATTTCGTAATGTAATTGTATTCCATTATGGTAACCAAACAAAAAAAAAAAAAAATTGCGTTGCACTGATGACATAGAGTATTAACACTGGTGCACAACATTTCCTAAACCGAAGGGAATCTAATAATCGAATGCGGCTTGATACGGATTTGGAGTTTCTAGAGTGTGGATGAAAAACCATTTTTTTGGTCAGGCAAAACCGCAATTTGGAAACGTTGGAGACACCTTACAGTAATTTTGTAATTATATTTTCTAAAAGAGAAACAAAATATAATTTTTAAAAATGTTAGAGGTCAACACGAAAAAGACATCACCCCCAGACCTAGCCCCAAATTTACTTTCTCTGCCTTTCCCACACGATCACGCCACACACCCATCCCTAGTCGCGACCTCCTCCACCGGCGAGAAGAAGCAGCCCCACCATTGCGAGCTCCACCACATTTTTTCTCTCTCATTTTGTCTCACTTTACACCACCACCCAGCACCACCACGTCACTTCCCCACTCACTTTGTCTCACTTCGCAACCACAAAGCACCACCACCACCTCCACCCAAGGGCGGATGTAGGGGTGGACTCTCGAAAAAAAAAAAAAAAAATTTATTATACTAATTTTAGCCTAGCCCAAAAAAAAACAGAAAAGAAATATTAATAGTATTAGCCCACCCCAAAATTAGCCCACCCAATCAAGTTGAAGTCAACTCAGACACCATACTAAGGCCCAAGCCAAATAAGCCCAAGCCGGCCCTGACCCAATAATTCCAGCCTCCCCAATCGCCTCCATCTCTATTCTGGTGGTACTCAACTCTGAACTTGCCCTCGCTCTCTCTCTGTCTCTTTCTCTCCCTCTCCAACTTCAAACTACAAAATCTACAAGAATCAGAAGTTCAAAACCCATATATTTCAGTTTATCGATCTGTCTGCAAGAATCAAAAGTTCAAAACCCATATCGGCATATCATTTCAGATTGTTCAAAAAATCAAAACCCATATCTTTCAGTTTCCATCGCCCGCGGTTCCAGTTCGGGTTCGCCGTTCGCAAGCTTCAGCCGCTGGCCCGCTGTCTCTCAACTCTCAAGCTTGCCCCCCCCTCTCTCTCTGCAACTGCTAACTTGTATGTATGGGTTTTGTTTTAAATTTTTTTCTAAATCAACTAATCAAGGTCTGTAATTCTTGTTTTGCAAACTAAATCCTATTTGGTGAAATTTTTTATGATCTTTTTTTATAAAATATATATATTTTTTACAATATAAAGTAACAAAATTTGCATTGCATTGCATTTTGAGGTAATCACCGTAATCTACATTTTATTTCAGCAAAACAAATATATATTTTTTCTTTCTATAACTTCTATTTCTGTTATGTTATTTTATTTTATTTTTTTGTTGTCAATTATGTCTACAAGAAAATTTGAATCTGGGCATGAAAAAAGAAAAAAAAAAGAATCTGAATTGGATTAGAAATCTGCAGAGATTGAATCTGAAACAATTTTTATCAACATGCCAAGCTTTTTGAAGCTGTAAATCTTTTCAGAACTAAAAAAAAAAAAAAAAAAATCATAACAAGAACTTGGACAAGCAAAAGTAGTTAATATAGGGTAAAGCTCTTGAAAATTAAAATACTTACAAAAAGCATGCTTTTGAGTGAATTCCATAGTGTTGGAAGGGGCTTGCCATGAACTACCTCACACTGTGCTTCCACTAGTAGATTTTCAAATAGGATTAGTAAATTGTTCAAAAGAAGAGATAGGTTACTGGGTGGTGAATTGTTCAGAAATAAATTGGTAATTTTTTTTATTAATTACCCAAATAGGATTGTCTGTACCTTAATCAGTCAATTGTCTTAAGAAACATTGTTAATTAAGTAAAATTGAATTAAACAACAGTTGATTTTGGTTGATATATTTTGATTTAGCCCACCCCATTGAGAAATCCTGGATCCGCCCTTGCCTCCACCGTCCACCCAGCCACCGCATCATCACTCACTTTGTCTCACATCTCTATCTCAATATGCGTACTGATCTGTTTCATTGATTTTCAGCATCAAAATTTTCTGTTAAATGCAAATTTTTATTTTATCTTTATATAATAGTTGTAGAGTTTTTTATTGGTTTCAAATTGATTTACTCTACGACTTCAATATATTTTCTGATTATTGGTCTAGTTCTGTTGGGAAAGGAAATTATATTAGAAGGCTTTGATTTTATTTTTTATTTTCAGGCCTGTCGTTTATTGAATTGTGTAATCTGGAACAAATGGAGACGTGTTTGGAAGTTTCAGAACAGTCCGTGGACTTCAATTGTGAACAAAATGCATGGAGGTAAAATATGTTCCCTTGTTTCCACAAATATTATTCTCATTGCCTTGAAAAATTGAAGATAATGTAGGTAATATATCAAAGAAGTGGTTTAAAAGAATGTTGCATTTAGATGTTAATGCATCTTTATAATTATAATTTAAGTTCATAGTAAAATTATAAAAAATTTCAATAGATTCTTATTTTGTTATGAGCTGTTAGATTTTGGTCTCTATTTGGGATTTTTTTTTTTTTTTTTGGACAGAGGCGCAAATTTTATTAATCAGAAGTAGAGGTACAATCAACTAGAATAACATGAAGAAGCCATGTAGGCTATACATCCCAATCCATATTGGTTGTTTTCTCCAGTAAAGCTCTTTTGCTCATCTCATGAGCCACTCCATTGCAATGATTGCATCTTTGGGCACCCATACTAAGTTACATTCTGGCAATTGTTAAAGCGAAAAAGCAGTATCATCTGGACATCCACTAAATCTTAACTGCATCGACCGGCTTCAAGTGCATAATAGGTTGGCAATCCCCTTCAATGTCGACTTCCTTATATCCCCATTGAAGCAACAATGTAACACTATCTCCATATAAGAGCCTTTGCAGAAGTAAAAACACAGATGCTGCTTTAATTGGTATACCCAAATGATCTCTCAACACTATACCCCCTCCACATTTTTTAGACCACTGATGGTATGAAGCATCATCATTAAGTTTGAGTCTACCATTTTTAGGAACAATCCATTTTACCAAATGAGAAACAGAATAGAATATAGCAGGCATAGATTCCAACTTCTTTTGCAACTGAACTGACTTTAAACTTGATAAAGAAAAACACAGCTCTCTCCATAACTTGAACAGGATCCAGTTGAACACTGCAAAATACACAATTGTTTCTCGCCTCTCACAAGTGCCAACTAATGAAAGCACAGCCAAACTGATAAGATCAGCACCTCTATTGTCTCCTTTGCATTGCTCAACCGAACTTTGCCACATCTGGTATTAAGAGAGAGATTAAAATGAATCCTTAGTGGACTAAGTCTCCATACTATTTGTGTTATAGGACAATTAAATATGACTTGTGCAGTAGTTTTCTCAGTTTGGCCACAGAGCTTGCGAATAGCATCTTCTACCAAACCCCTTCTTTTAAAATTAGTTCTTACTGGAAGAGCATCATGGCAACACTACCACTGCAGCTAGCATTTTCAACTGACACTTTTCATCATCTTCAAAGCCAACTGATAAGCAGTCTTAAGTTCTTAACTGTAAATCTCCCATTAGCCGTCAATCCCAAATTTTGCAGTCCTCAATAGTTGTAAGACTCAATGAAATTTGAATTATGAGACTACTATCTCTATGATTAAAAATCAACTTTCCAAGTATGAGTCATAATTAATAAGTTCTGCACCCAATGCAAACCACAGTCTTTTGTTCTTAAAGAGATGCATTGATTCGTGTGATCAGGAAGCCAATTATCTCCCAAAATTTTCACTTGACTACCATTACCTATTTTCCACCTTAACCCTTGTTTCAAAATAGGTTTGGCAGCCTGAATGCTCTTCCAGGCCCAAGAAGCAGTTCGGGAACAAGAATAATTTAAAAATGAAGAAGGAAAGTACTTAGCTTTGAGGATTTTAAATAGCAAAGAGGTACCTCCTACTTCCATCCTCCAAGCTAGTTTGGAAAGGAGGGCTAGATTAAACGCGTCAAGACACTTAAAACATAGACCTCAGTACTTCTTAGGTATGCACAGACTTGGCCAGCTTATCCACCTCAGTTTAGACTCCTCACCACCACTCCAACAGAATGTAGAAATTTTACTCGTCATATCCTTATAGAGGGAAGAAAGAATTTTAAAACATTGAAATGTGCAAGTGTGGAGGGCTGCCAATGCTGTTTTCAATAACACACGTACTGGTTGTGATCAATTTCCAATAAAAACGGTCAAATTGCTATAGTTTTGGAAGCATATGTAATGTTTAATGCATCACGTGTGTGTTTGAACTTTGAAATTCTCTTTTTATGGTTGGTGAACCTCTTTTTCTCTTTGTTTGCATTATCATAGTTTAAATGGTGATAGTAATGCGATCATCATGCCGGGAGAGAAAAGGATAAAAAAGAATGGCAAAAATCAGGTATTTGCAGCAAACTTGCCAGTACTTTACTGGAATTCTAGTTCTAGTATGTTATTATCTAAGTTTTAATGTTCAATTACACACCCAGGGACATGAACTGGTTGAAACAAAGAAAAACCCGAAGCTGAGGAAATCCCAGAAAAGAAAGCTGAAGAAGCTAGAGGTCTGTTTGCTTGCACGTTTTTTGTTTGTTTGTTTCTTTTTTTTTTTTCTTTTTTTTTTTTTTTTTTTTTTTTTTTTCATGTTTATTGAATATGGAATGACTTGCTTTTCATATGTGTAGGAGGAGAAGGAGAAAGCATGTCTATTATCCAAAAGCATTGAGACCTTGGAGTAAGTTAGCTGCTTGGTCTGTCTTGGATAGTTAAATCAGTAGTGCTGTCCATCTTTATTCCAAGAATGTTTGATACACATGTTGGGTGATCACATTTCAGGAAGTACAAGATACGAGATGATGTATATTCACTTATGTGGTCTTCACGGAATATTGGTCAGGTTTGTATCATTGTTATGATGCCACTCTTAGAGTGAAAGTAAAAAAAAAAAAAAAAAAAAATCCCTTGTAGGTTGATTTTATGAAAGGGCACATCCATTTGTAGGTTGAAACTGTCCGCGAAAAACGTAGGAGGGCAATGCAGTTTTCGAAGGTGGGTTTAGGAATTCAACACAATGATCAATCCTTCAAGAGCAGGGTTGCCATCAGTACTTTCTCCGAAACTGAACCGGATGCCGATGAAATCCACTCAAGACGAAACCATGATGATGATAACTTTTTGCAACCAACAATAGCAGCCGAAAATGTCCCAAGCAACGTTCCTGTTTCTTTAGGATCTTTTCGAGAATCAATTTGTAGCAGTGGACTTGGTGCAAAAGGTGGACCTGATGCTGCTTGTTCAGTGAGGGAAGTTGCGGATCAGAAAGGTGACTCATGTATACATGATGATGTGCCCAATTCTTCCCCCACACCATGCAGTCATGATGGCAGAAAAATTATTCAGCCAATGGTATACTTCACTCTTGAAATATTGAAGAAATCTTATATTGAACGGTTTTCTTAAACTGAATGTGAAGGGAAATTGGTTATTATTTATAATCAGACACCATGCATTCATATTGTACTTGTTTTTCATATATATATTATTGTGCCTAATGGTGGTTGGGGGCTTAATATGGGACAGGATGGCACAGATCAGGGTCCAACAATTATCAACAATATGAGCAATCTAGCAGATTGTCCTCCAGTGACAGTTCTAACAGCCCCAACTGTAGTGCATGTATCAAGACCAAAGGAGGTTGAGAGCAAGAGAAATGATCTTCCAATAGTTATGATGGAACAGGAGATAATGGAAGCGATAAATGAAAATACGAGTGTGATTATATGTGGTGAGACTGGTTGTGGTAAAACCACTCAAGTTCCACAGGTGAGCTAGTATGATGCCTCTTATAGTCTATCTGCTGGAATCCAAAAATTTTTATTTTATTTTATTTTCTTACTTTTTTATTTTTTGCATGGGTGATGGTCGTTACTCCTTTTTTAATGGCATCTTTCAGTTTCTTTATGAAGCTGGCTTTGGTTCAAACCAGTCCAGTGTTCAAAGTGGTATCATCGGTGTAACCCAACCACGTCGTGTTGCTGTCCTCGCAACTGCTAAGCGAGTGGCCTTTGAACTTGGATTTCGTCTAGGTAAGGAGGTTGGCTTTCAAGTTAGGCATGACAAGAGGATCGGGGACAATTGCTCCATCAAGTTCATGACTGATGGAATTTTACTACGAGAAGTGCAGGTTTTGCTCATGCACTCTTTACTTTTTAATCATGCATAAGTGAGGTCTTTTAGAAATATGAGATGTTTTTATTGCTAACTCTTTGCTCTTATGTCTATATGCTATGGGATACTATTTGTCATCTAAAGTACTTCTCATTCCATGCGAGGCCTTTTGACTTTTGTATTCTATTTTTTTAAATAACACCACCCCAACAACACCCAAAACAAATAAATCACAATGTAGTTGGTGCTTTTTGCTTATTGATTTTAGTATTAGGTGTTAGCACTTAAAATTTAAATGAATAAATGGAAGAGAGGATGGCAAGGAAGCATTGTCATAGTTTCTTATAGCTGTTAGGGTTAGTTAACTTCTAAGTCTCTTCCTGTTTTTCGTTATTAAGTTTGTAGTGGTTCAAAGTTCAAATCCATGAAGGAATTGTGGTATTAATTTCTTTTGATGTCACATATAATTTTTGATTAACAATATTTAGAATAGAGAAGAAGGTTTGATTGGTTCACTCAAGAGGCCTTCAGTACAGCCATCTTATTTGTGATACTAGATTGTTTGTGGAGGTAGACATCCAGGATTTGGTATTGATGGCTATGTTGAGGTGGATGTTTTTTCAATGCCATTAACATTTGGAGAACTGTTGGTACTATTTGTGAAGTGCATAAATTTGAAGTTGTGTTTGGTTGGTTTGTGGGTTGATATAGGATGGGATTTTGATCCAGACCTTCAAATCGGAATCTTGTTGTGTTCATGATGCAATCTTTGATGGGTTTGAAAATCCACCTCAAATTTAAGATTTGAAGTTTACTTATCCTGAGGAATTTTACAAATAACAAGAAATGAGGTGTTATATATAAATTCTACTCACTAATAATTAACACAAGTTGTAAGAGGTAAAAAAAGTGAAGAGTATCAGTGTCAGTCACCATTACCACAGGACCAAAAGGTCCAAAACACCTACCATTGCATCATCCTCATAACTGTGAACATTGCTATCACTAGCCATAACCACGAACATTGATCTCAATAGTCACCACCTACTGCCACAACCCCACCACCACCACCATGATCAACATCCCTCTGTCATTATGTTATAACCACAACTGCTATCTACCAGAAGCACCTTCATGACAATGCACTACTAGTAGTGTCATGAGTGACTCTCCATACCTGCATAGGGAAATGCTTTCACTGGACGCTAGACCTAAACAAGTCTTAGAAAATAATCCCTTGTTGCTACGACTTTCTCTTGCTTAGTGTTAATTCCTTTGTTTCTTTTTTCTTTTTGCATTACTCTTTTGTTGTTTTAAGTTCTTGTGAGAGAAAATAAAAAATATCATTTTTTTGGGACTGTTATAACGGTGCCATCATCTATGTTTGCATGTTGGATTTTTATTATTTATCATTTTTTGTGAGCCATTTCACTAAATTACTTTTGCTCTCATTTTGGAACGTTTTGCCTCACTTCACACTATAATATTTGCCTTTGAACTGCAGAGTGATTTCTTATTGAAACGATACTCCATTATAATTTTGGATGAGGCTCATGAAAGGAGCTTAAACACAGATATACTTATTGGAATGCTTTCCCGCATTATACAACAGCGGATGGTGAGAGCTACGGAATAATTTTATTATTTTAATTATGTGTTGATCACTTCTTTTTTTTCCCAAACTTTTTCTCATAGAGATATATCATGGCTTGATGGCAGATAATATATGAGGAGCAGCAACAAAAAGTCCTTTCAGGAGAAAAAATATGCTCTGAAAGTAAGATATTTCCATTAAAACTCGTGCTGATGAGTGCCACCTTGCGAGTTGAAGACTTTGTTTCTGGGAGAAGGATATTTTATGATCCACCTCCTGTAATAGAAGTTCCAACCCGACAATATCCAGTTACTATACATTTCGCGAAAAGAACAAAGGATGGGGACTATATTGGCCAAGCTTATAAGAAGGTCATGACAATTCACAAGAGGCTTCCAGCCGGTGGTATACTTGTTTTTGTTACTGGACAGAGGGAAGTAGAGTACTTGTGCAAGAAGCTGCGAAAAGCTTCAAAGGATATGGTTGAGAACAGTTCTAAAGGAAATGAGGGAAATGATGTTACTGCATCCTCTGAAGGGAAAAATATGGATAAAGATGATATGATAGATATCAATGAAGCATTTGAGATGCACGGGAACTTAGGCCACCAGCAAACTGACCGGTTCAGTTCTTATGATGAAGATCATTGTGATCTAGATGAGGATGAGTCAGATTTTTCCTATGATTCTGGGACAGAGAGCGATATAGAAGTTGTTGATGATGAGAATTTGTTGAACCAGAAAACTCTGGAGGCTGATGGTAATCTTGCAGATGTCTTAGGTGAGGATGGGAGCCTTGTTTCACTGAAGGCTGCCTTTGAAGCTTTGGCTGGAAAAACTACCGTGACCCCTTATTCTGAGGTGGAACAGATTGTTCCTGTTACTCCAGAAGGATGCTCAAATCAATCCAAATCCAGCTTGGGAGAGAAAGGGGGAGTATCAAATGGTTTCTGTGCAGGTTCAATGTGTGTTTTGCCCCTTTATGCCATGCTTCCTGCATCAGCACAGCTTCGTGTGTTTGAAAAGATTAAGGAAGGAGAGCGTCTAGTTGTTGTTGCTACTAACGTGGCTGAAACATCTCTAACTATTCCAGGCATAAAGTATGTAGTTGACACTGGAAAGGAGAAGGTCAAGAACTACAACTCCTCCAATGGCATGGAAACGTACGAAGTACAGTGGATAAGCAAGGCATCTGCTGCTCAACGTGCAGGAAGAGCTGGAAGAACAGGGCCTGGCCACTGCTATCGTCTATATTCTTCTGCAGCCTTTAGTAACACATTTCCTGACTTCTCAAGTGCTGAAATATCAAAAATACCAGTTGATGGTGTCGTCCTTCTGATGAAATCCATGGGTATTAGTAAGGTATGTTCCCTATGTAATATGAAGCCCACCTGTTCATGCACATTTTTTATTCAGCAGAAGTGTGTTCAAGTTCACCTGTCTCCCCCAAACCCCCCCCCCCCCCCCCCCCCCCCCCCCCCCCCTCCCCTCGCCTGCTCTCCCTCTCTCTCTCTCTCTTTAAAATAAAAAAGATCACCAGGGGTCCCCATATTCTGCCTAAGATCTCATTTTAACTAAATAATGGTCAACATATGCTTGTCTCAACTACATGGTCTTCATTTTCTTTCTTTATTCATCTTCTTTTTAATTATTGTGGCCATTCTTTAGTTGTATCTAATATGTCTTCATTCCAGGTCGCAAATTTCCCATTTCCTACTCCTCCGGAGGCCACTGCATTGGTTGAAGCAGAGCATTGCTTAAAGGCTCTTGAAGCACTTGATGGCAAAGGAAGACTGACACCCCTAGGGAAGGCAATGGCACAGTATCCAATGAGTCCTCGACACTCCCGGATGCTCCTTACAGTTATTCAAAACATGAGAAAGGCGAAAGGTTCTTCACGGGCAGACCTAGTTCTAGGATACGCAGTTGGAGCTGCTGCAGCTTTGAGCTTGTCAAATCCTTTCGTTATGCAGTTTGAAGGAAGCAATGCTGACATGGATTACTTAGAGCAAAATGAAAAATCTAGCAGTATTAATAGCAAGAAAATTTTAGAGAAGGAAGAGAAGTTGAGGAAAAAGAAACTAAAAGAAACTGCTAAAGTTTCCCGTGCAAAATTTTCTAACCTCAGAAGTGATGCTTTGATGATAGCATATGCTTTGCAGTGTTTTGAACTTTCTGGAAGCCCAGTGGAATTCTGCAATGACAATGCATTGCACCTAAAAACCATGGAGGAAATGTCTAAGCTGAGAAAGCAACTACTTCAACTAGTATTTAACCAAAAATTTTATGGTTTGCAGCAGGAATACTCATGGACTCATGGGACCATGGAGGATGTAGAACGTTCATGGAGGGTTTCCCCCGATAAGTATCCTTTGTTATTGAATGAAGAGGATGTACTGTGCCAAGCTATTTGTGCTGGTTGGGCTGATAGGATCGCTAAACGCACTAGGGCAGTTTCAGAGTCATCATCTGGAGATAGAAAAGTAAATGCAGTTCGCTATCAAGCTTGCGTGGTTAAGGAAACAGTGTTCCTTCATCAGTGGTCATCTCTTTCTCGATCTGCGCCTGAATTTTTAGTATACAATGAACTGATACATACAAAACGACCGTACCTGCATGGAGCAACAAGTGTGAAATCAGATTGGCTTGTTAAATATGCTGGGCCTTTGTGCAGTTTCTCTGCCCCCCTTGCAGATCCCAAACCCTATTACGATCCTCTTACGGACCAAGTCTTCTGTTGGGTCGTTCCGACTTTTGGCCCTCATCTGTGGCAGCTTCCACTGCATAGTTTGCCCGTCAAAGACGATGACCGTCGAGTGGCTGTATTTGCTTTCTCTTTGCTTGAAGGCCATGTGTTGCCTTGCTTAAAATCAACCAGGAAATTCATGGCAGCCTCCCCTGGTAGCATTTTGAGGCTGGAGGCATTGGGTCATAGACGGGTTGGGAATCTTCTAAGCAAGTTGAATACAAGGTTGAGAACTATTGATAGCTGTGCTATGCTGAGAGAGGCCTGGAATGAGAATCCTAGAGAATTGCATTCGGAAATTATGGACTGGTTTCAAGAGGGATTTCATGATCAATTTGAGGAGCTATGGGCAGAAATGCATCATGAAGTCCTTTTAGATCCCAAAGAACGCTTTCCCAAAAGGGTCAAGAGAAAGAGAAGGGTAAAATAAACTGGTTTAGTGAAAGCTAAATGGGTGACGCCTCTATAAATTATATGCGTCAACTCTACATACGTTCTCTCAATGATTCTTCACCAACTCCGAACTTTGGAGAAGAAAAATGTGCTTCACATTTTAATTATCCATTGAAGAGAGCTCCATTTTAGCATTGGAAGTTGCAGCAAGGTAATCTTTTAATCCCATGTTGGCTTCTTTGCATAAATCATCCAGTGTGTAGTATTTGTTGTGCTTCAATCTGTGAAGCCTCAATTGTTTTGAATTAACATATTCTAGTCATTCCTCATGTATGATTATTTTACCCTACACTGATGGCTATCAGCTATTTTTTTATTTTTATTTTTATTTTTGAGAAATAAGCTGGTTTATCGTTCAACTACAAATAGGCAAAGTCTTATACGACCTACTTGGGGCATACCCCAAGGAAACAAAAAAACAAGATTAAAACCCCAAACCCACCAAAGTAATAAAAGCCAAACAAGTAAGCCAATAATACAAAGCCAATCCTCAATAACAAAATACAGCAAATCAAACATATATCAGCATAAACGCTCTGATTATGCCTATACATTCTACAGTCAAGAGCTGATAACCAATAGTCCATGCCACTCCAGTAACAATTAAGAATGGCAGGATCATACCAGTAGTACAGGGTGTAAAGCTGATGCAAACCAAAGCAGGGAAAGCAGCACCACATCATCACATAAATCACCCTCCGGACGAGCAAATTAGACTGTTTCAGACTGCTAGTGATAGAGTACCATTCAGTCTGATACCCTTTCTGAAAATAAACAGCCTTGTGAAGAAACAAAAACCAATCAATATAACCTCTGTACTTACTTCTGAACATTGGCACACCAAAATACTTCCCTCTGATACCATTTCTGAAAATAAACAACCTTTTGAAGAAATAGAAACCAATCAATATAACCTCTGTAATTCCTTCCGAACATAGACACGCCAAAATACTTCATTCTCAGCACCTGCAGCCAACCATAATAGAACAACACACCCCAAACAGCAGCAGCAGACCATTCATCAAACAGCCAAAATAAAAGAGCACAGTTCTGAATCTCATACTGTAGGAGAGCAGAACTGTTACAGTAATATATGGAGCACTAGTCATGACTGAAAATGGAATCAGGTAGTTGCCACTCAGTTTTCAACCATTGATTAATTCTTGATTCATCGACTCTCTTCATAGAACATAATCTGTACCTAACATTCTGAATAACAGCTTGCTTGGCAGCCTCCCAATCCCTAAATTCATTTGCATACGTTCTTTTATTTCTTTCTTTCCAGATCTCTTACACAACAGCTGCTAGGGATAATTTGTTAATAATGGAAACCATTTTTTTTTTCCCTTTTAAAACCATAGTTGCCCTTTGAAAATACCTTCCCAGCTACCAGCAGGCCATTGAATAGCCCCTTTATGAGTAAAAACTTTATACAATCTGTTTGTGGAAAAAAAGAGGTGATCTCGGTCTCTATTTTTACAGAACACACAGCTGCCATTTAGGATAATCCCTACATGAATAAGTCTCTGCTGAGTCCATAACCTGTTTTGAACAACTAGCCATACAACAAGGGAACCAGATATCTTTCCAAGGAACTCTCTGTTTCCTATTGCTAATAGCTTCCTATGTTGATTTAATAGAGAAGGCACTCTTTTTAGGCTTCCAACTGATCTCATCACCCGTATCAGGACAAGGCTTAAAATCAGATGAAACACCATATCTGAGGCTCATCCATTTCAATGTATTAGTTATAGGCCATCTCCAATCATTACCTTGAATAACTGCCTTTACTAAAGCCTCTTTAGCCAGGCCTGAGTTAACAATAATTTTATTGTTATAATGCATTCAAATAGGACCTTGAGGCAGCCAATAGTCATACGGTTATACAACAGGGAAGTCAAACTGCCATCACCAACTTTGTGAAAAACAGCAACTTATCCCTTATCTTCAAAAGCTTTCTCCAAGTCCAAGAGCACTCATTTGGGACTTTTATATTCCAGAAAATTTTTCTCTTCACAAGATGGTGCCTAACCCATATGTCCCACAAAGATTATGATTTAGGTTGAGCAACCTTCCACAAATTTTTTGCCATAGCAGCAGTATTCCACATTTCTACAACCTTAATACCAAGGCACTCTTCAGATTTAGGTAAAAACACATCAATCCATGCCACCATATTTGTACCCTGGCTCAAGTTAGGACTCTTCCATACAAATTTCCTCATAATGTACTTATCAAAAAAAAAAAAAAAAATCCTCATAATGTAATTGATTTGCTTAAGAACAGACTTGGGGAGAATAAAATTTGATGCCTAATAAACTTGCACAGAAAACAGAACAGAATTAATCAACTGAAGTCTTCCAGCAAAAGATAGATATCTACTAGTCCAAGATTTGGCCTTATCAACAATTATATTCACCAAGCTTTCACATTGCTCCCCTTTCAATTTGGAAGACAACAGGGGCACACCTAAATACTTAACATGTAACTCTCCTTTCTGAAACTGCAGAATCTGCATAACTTGATCTGTTTCAAGAGTAAATAATCCAGCACAGAAAAACCATACTTTTAGAAGCATGAGGGCATAGACCAGACATGAGACTGAAAGAATTCAGGCCATCCATCAACAGAGTAACGGAGTTCAATTCCCCTGCAGAAAACAGCATGACTAGATATCTCATGTCCACTGCTCTTCGAACGATAGCTGAAACCCCTTTGCTCAATTCTGTACTTAAGCATTCCAGTCAATATTTCCATCCCCATGACAAAAAGACAAGGAGACATAGGATCAGCTTGCCTCAATTCCCTGCCACTAGTAAAATACCCCTCAAGGCTTCCATTAATATTGACAGAGTACATAGGAGTAGACATACATATCATAATCCACTGAATCATAGTTTCAGGAACTTTAAAAGCCTTCAAAACAGTTTTCATGAAAGCCCAAGATGCTGTCATAAGCTTTTTTCAGATCCACTTTCATAGCCACTCTAGCAGGTTGAGCATTTTTTGAGCTAACCCCTTATTAATTCTTGATCCAGCAGAATATTGTCAATAATTGTAATGTTTTTAATTGTGTAGTGTATTGTTGTATAATTATGCAAAAGTGTAAGTGAGATATTTGTTTATTAAGTGGGCCCCACAAAGCACTAAACACATATTATACCACCATGCATCATTTTGTGGCCATTTCTCTCTTCAGATTCGGGACTGAGCTTTCTCTCTCTCCCTCCTTGCTTTCCTCTTTTCTTATTTTCTACCATTTCAAGCTTTGATTCATCATTTTTCTTTGAGTATTCAACTTTGCCATTGAAGGCAAAGTTGATAAGCTAGTTGAGACCTTCATTTTGATAGGAGTTGATCATCATTTGGAGCACTCTTGGGAATTCGAATGGGGCTGAATTAGGGCTTTGCTTGGTTTTATCTTCAATTTGAGGTAGGGGTCTTCCTAATGCCCAAGTTTTGATTCTATTTGAGTAAATTTCTCCTTCCTTTGAGATATGTCTTTAGAATTATTAAATTTTGGTATGAAATTAGGGCTGTCTATAAAATGTCTCCCCAGTTGTAGATGAGTGTTGATATTGAGCTAACCAGTCTCTCTCCCCTCTTCCTTAACAGCAACATTAAGGGGTTCTTTATACACTATTTTTTGGCACTCAAGTCAGGTAAGCTCTATCCACCTTGACTTGATTAGATAAATCAATAATCTGTCCTTATTAACTTTTTCAATTCAACCTTCAACCTCTGCAACTTTTGGGTCACACTGAACATAGTAGTTTCCTTAACTCTGCAAAAGCAAACCCTGGCAACAATATCATAAAACTGAGGATGATCAAGTAGAAAATTGTTAAACCTGAAGCGCTTCCTGCTAGTATGATTAACAGCACCAAATTTCAGCAAAATGATAGCATGATCAGATATATTAGGAGGATAAAAAACAGCCTCTAGACTCCCTGAACATACTAAGCGAAGAATCATTAACTAAACTCTGTCAAGCTTCCTGAAGTAAGTGCCATTAGACCAGGTATATTTTATTCCAGAAGGCTTCAGGTCCATGAGCTTAGCATTTTCAATACATTCCCCAAACTCTTTCATATCAGCATTCCACTCAGTGGAAACCCCCCAACTATTTATGTCTGAATCTGATAGCATTGAAATACCCAGCTAAAAATCAAGGGTCATGCTTATGAACAGTAACCAACTTCTCAACACTAGCCCAGAGCTTCCTTCTCTCAATTTGGCAGTTAAACCCATAATTGAAAGTAGCAATGTATTGAAAAGACTTGTCTTTGACAAAGAAATGGATCAATTGGGCATTACACTCCAAAGTAAGGTTATCAGAATTACTACTATCCAACAGCACCCAAATCCTCCCATTTGGACCATAGTCATTGTTAGTTGCCAAATTCCAATTCTTTGCAATAGCAGTGAAAGTCTTACTCAGATTCTGTTACTCTTAGTTTCAACTAGACACAGAAGAGATAAAGCATACAACTGGATCACCTTCCTCGCATCAGCTTGTTTAGAGGGGTCATTTAGACCCATAATATTCCATACTCCAAAATTCATAAAAAAAAACTAATGAAAAAGAATTAGCAACCCTTAGTACCCCCAGGACTGGGAGTTCTAATGCCCTTAACATAGGGCAAGAAACCCCTTTAACTTTAGATTGTGCAATCACAGACAGATTACTAATTAAGGTAGAGTTTTGATTAGTAACCTTGATAGGTTCTTTGTCCACATTCATAACTGGAATAGGAAGCGCCACACCAGAAGCGTCTTCGACTGAAATTCCCTCAGCTAAGCTATCCACTGCTACAAAACTCACATTTACTGGATCAGCTATCCACTGCTACAAACCTCACATTTGCTAGATCATTCTCATTAAATACCTGCTCTGCTGAAGATGATGCCATAGACATCATTTGGGAGATCAGAAACTGTCATACTCTGAACATGATGCATAAACTCAGCAGAACCATCAGCTGACCCGTCCTCCTCCTCCTCCAGAGTCCTCAAAGCTTGATAAAGATTAGGACAAATCACCACTGCCCTGTTCTGAATCAGAACAGGCTCTGTAAAGGACACCTGAATCCCACACCATCTCCATTAGGCATATTCACTGTACCATCAGCTTTTGTCGGAACTGGTTGTATGAGAGTCCCATTCTTTTTTAGCCATACGCTGCTGACCCTTAACATTTACATTATTTTCCCTAGTCAACAAAACAGCCTCTTTCTGAGTAGCTGGACAATTCTTCACCACATGCCCAAATACTTTACAATGTGAGCATTTTGATGGAACCCACTGATATTCAGCATATACTGGAACTCTCGACCCATTCGGCAATTCAAGTTTGAATTCTGAAATAAGCTCTGACTCCACACTGTCTTCCACACGGATTCGAGCAAAACTTAGCCATTTCTTCCCGTCATCGAGTCAGCATACAAAGGCCGACTAACTGTGCTGGCTATGTAGCTTATCCCATCTTCATCTGAATATTCAAGCGGAACATTTGGAAATTTTACTCATATGGGATGCTTATCTACAGTCTTTATGCAGAGACACCTTTTCAGCACAATTAGATGATTAACAAAATGACATGGCCCTCGTTCAAGAACACAATCCCTATATCCTGCTGTTGCAAATTTAAAGAAATAAAATCCCTTCTCTGTACCAAAGACTTCCATCAAACCATCCTTATCCCATAATCGATGAGCAAAGGAATTTACAGAATAAAACGGAAGTTTCTTATCGATGAAATAGCCAACCAAACAATTCCCCCTTTCCCCTCCTGCTACAGCAATTTTCACTAGAGGAGTAACAAAAATTCGTATGTACTGAGTCGGGTTGACCTGCAACCACATTTGCCCGTGACCCTACTTCTAGCCCACCCATATTCATCTTATTTGGAGAAGCTCCAACCTCTTTCTGGTTAGACATAAATGGTTCAGTGGATGTGTGGAAATTCATTTGGAAGGGTTGGGATGTCTTCTCTTCCCATATCAGATTCAAAGTTCGTGATGGTAGATATGTTCGATTTTGGGAGGATTTATGGTGTGGTGACCAGCCATTATCTTACACTTTCTCAGATTGTATAGTATTGTCACCGATAGACATGCCTACATAGCTAACTGTTATCGGTTTAATAGTAGTGGGATTGCGTGGGATGTGCATTTTAGGCGTTCTTTTCAGGATTGGGAGATGGACGAAGTATGTGTTCTTCTGGATATGTTGTATCAATAAGAGACAATTGGCAGAGGTAGTGATGATCTTCTTTGGGCCCCCTCTACCTATGGTAGATTTGATGTCCGGTCCATATTTCTCTGCCTCTCCAACTTCGCTAGCCTTGATTTTCCATGGAAGATCATATGGCGCTCTAATGCTATGTTTGGTTGGAGGAAAGGATTAAGGGGGGATGGATGAGAGGATGGATGGATAAATATTTTTGTGTTTGGTTGGAGGGAAGGGAAGAGAGGGAGGAAACAGCTTCATCCCTCTTTCCTTTATGTTTTTCTATCCGTCCACTTTTGGGGGAAGAGAGGAGAAAAAGAAGGCATAACTACCTATAAATTTCTAATTTACTATTTTAACATTTTTAAAAATTTTAAAATAAATATCTATCTTTTATAATTTTATATAAAATGGTGTATTGGTAAAAATAATATAACAACTCTCCTTCCCTTCCAACCAAATAAGAAAAAAGTATCATTCCATTCATCCTTTCTACTATTCATTCCATTCAACCAAACATAAAATGAGAAAGACACCCTCCATTCCCTATGGATATCTCATCCATTCCTCCCTCTATCTCTTCTATTTATTTTTCCATCCCTCCAACCAAACGAAGCATAAGGCTCCACTTAGAGTGACATTCTTTGTATGGACTGCCGTATGAGGCAAGATTTTGATGCTTGACAACTTGAGGAAGAGAGGCAATAATATTGTTAATTGGTGTTGCCTTTGCAAACGAGATGTTGAGTCTGTGGATCATATCCTCCTGCTTTGTCCCATGGCGTACGACTGTTGGAACCTTATATTTGGCTTATTTGGTATGCTTTGGGTAATGCCTCGATTTTCTAAGGGTCTGATTAACGCGTGGAGGGGATGCCGCGTGAGAAGCAGTGTAGACAACTATTGGAGTACAGTTCCACATTGCGTTTGGTGGTGCATTTGGAAGAAGAGGAATAACATAATGTTCGAAGGGAATGAGTCGTCCATGGCGATGTTGAAACTTCATATTATTCACTCTATCTTTACTTACGTGAAGAGGAGTTCTTGCTCCTCTTTCGATGACTTAGTTAATCTATTTGACTTTTTGAATCCATAGATCTTGATTCCGCTTTTGTATAAAAGACGCGTTCCCCTTTTGAACATTTTTTTAACCGATAATTACTTGTAAAAAAAATAAAAAATAAAAATAAAAAAACTGGTTCAGTGGATACTCCAATTCATCATGTGGCACAAATCAGGGAAATTAGTTGTTGACATCTCAGGACATATCTGAACTGTAGATCCACCAGCATTTATGACCATAGTATTAGAAGCAGTTACACCTGCCTGCTCATGCAGAACCATTGGATCAGAAGATTGGATGTGATTCGTCAAAAGCGCTGTTTGCACAACTAGATCCACGCGCATTGTTCCCTTCACTACGAGGCACCCTCTGGACCTCCACGCTTCTCACGGCCTGGTTCGGCAAAACACCAGAACCTTCATAGCCACCGTGGCTAGGACCAAAACGATCACCCCAGCCACGATTACCACCGTTCCTACCCTGAAAAGTACCCCGCCAGCCACCAAATCGTCCCAAGCTAGCACCAGCATCTGAATTTTGTTGCCCATCACCCACAAGAGCTCTCAATTCCTGATTCTCTTGATGCATTATACAAATTGCATTTCGTAAATGAATCATTTCTGGGAAAACCTTAGTCATATCCTCTGGATTCACAGCCTCAGTATCATATTCATCAAATTCAGGCTCAACAGCATCAATCGACAGCAAAGATTCAGCACCATTATTTGAACAACCACAAATCTCACTACACTTATCATCCTCACCCTTGGCCTTCATCACACCACATCCTTCATCAACTCCTACCTCAGTCATACTTCCACATCCGGGAAAGCGTCGCCAGAACAAACAGAGTGCGCTACACCGGAGAAGAATACCAGTGCAACCTGCTGCCGGGAAAGCAAACGCCAGATCAGGAAAAATACCAAAACCACCGACAAACACAAGAGTACAAAAAATCCGTCCAAGAGCAAAACTAAATCTGAGAAATGAAAAATAAAAGAAAACAATCTGGAGAAACAATCAGCTGTAGAAGACAACCGATCAGATTACTTAATGATCAGATTGTAGAACAAAAATCAGATCTAGTTAGCCCCAAATCCTAGAGAGAAACTCCTAGTGAGAGAAGCTCTCAACTAACCCATCCTTCACTTTTCAATCAATCAAATCCATTCCTTGATGACTATCAAGCTTTTCATTTGCGAATTTACAAACTGTCATCATATGTTTTTCTCATGCTCAGTCTTCTATTATCTTTTGCACAGGTGGTTGTGATCTTTTTCATGATGCATTGGTAAAAGAGGCCCTACATGCCTGTGATCAGCTCATGGACCATTCAGTTGCTCTGGATTTTAGTTGGGCAAGAGGCAGAGATAGCTCTCTGTACTGGTGACGATTTTCAAGCTGTTATGGAGTATAAATGAGGAACATCTGTGCATGCCATCATAGCTTTTAGAAACACAGCTGATTTCAAAGATTATGATGGTATAGCTTCCTCCATTCCGCGGTATCTAAGGAGTTTTAGATGACAACAGTACAATATTCTAGCATCAGTGGACTCGGATTGTGCAAGTGATGATGAGTTTTGTTTTGTTTTGTTTTGTTTTTTTTTTGTTTTTGTTTTTTTTGTTTTGCCCTTGCTTTAACGGAATTTTGTTGTTGGACCTCAGCATCCTTAATTCTCGCATAAAAATCCAAACTAGCCATGCAACCAAGTATGGAGTTGATGATTGAGATCCAGATCACATTCTTGAACAGAAAGCTTTAACATACAGATGCTTATCTTTTTGTTTTGTTTTGTTTTTTTGTTTTTTTTTGTAGTACATTATTTGTTCACAGAACAAGCGATCATCACGGGTTGCTGGAAAAACTGGAATTCTGAAAAAATAATGTCAAAGCACTTATGTAAGAATAATTCTCTCATTTGACAATGGAAAAACATACATTTCGTATTTTTCAAAAAAAAAAAAAAAACATACATTTAGTTGACAGTTCCAATAAAACTCTAATATGTATCATCCAATTTCAAAGGAGCCTGTTTTCTCTGGGAATTGTTATTATTATTATTATTTTATTTATTTATTTTTAAGTTAACACGAGCAGCTCAACCGGTGTTTGGGATACTCCCCTTTGTCTCTAGTTTGAGTCTGGTGGAAGGGGATACCTGGGTTTAAATGATTACCTGGGTTTGTGACCGCGAGATTTTTTTGAATCATCAGAGTCCAACGCAAATGGTCAGTGGGTTGATTGCTTCCACTGCATAGTTCACCCAACAAAGACGATGTATTTGCTTGAAGGCCATGTGTTGCCTAGCTTTAAAGGTCCTGGAAAGAAAGCGGCCGCACCCATGAGCACGGATACACTCGCTTAGAGAGTTACGCGCTTTACTAATTAAGCCATGGGGTAATTAAAGCATGGTTTTATGATGATATGGGACCAAGGTAGACTTTGACGCGCGTAGACACTGTTGCACAAGAATGGCTCATAGTTGTGATGTTTAAAGGTGATTTTAAGGCCCGCTATAGCATTTTTGATGTTTCGCATGCCCAGCGGAAATGCTGTTGTTAATCATTGAAATCTTGTTAGTCATGAGAATTTATTATAGCTAACCAGTCACTGTCAGTAATCTAGAGTAATTTTCTTTCGGTGCTTTCAATTTGCTATAACAATGAGCTAATTTTAAAGATGAAAATGATTCTTACACTAAATAGTTATAGTAAATTGTTAGACTTACTTTTTTAGTCGGCTAATTATGTAACAAATAAAAAAGTGAAGTCCATTACTTAATTGTATTTGATATAAATAGTCAATTAAAAATTATTCCATTAAGCAATTCACTTCAAGTATTCGGTGTAAGTGTCACTATTCTTTCAAATATTATGAGGGTATAGCTTCCTCCCTTTTGTGGCATCAAAGGAGTTTTAGAGGGGTACTACCAAATAACCTAGTAAGCAGAGAGTGCACCAACTTTTTAAACGAATACGTCCGTGTTCGAATTTTTTTTCTCTTAATTTATGGAAGAAAAGAAAAAAAAAAAAAAAAAAGAAAAAGAAAGTTTTAGATAACAAGTTGACAGTGAATCCAGAATCTGCAAGTACCTAGTGTTGTTTTTTATATTTGTTTTTTTTTGTTGTTGGACCTCAGCATCCTTAATTCAGGCATAAACATCCAAACTTGGCTAATAAAGTTAAATGGTATTTATGTGATGGCAAATGCATTGTCAGTGCAGGTGAACCCAATTTGCAGAATTTAATATTACAGGGGTGATGAACTTGGGTGTGACAAATCAAATCCGCCATAATTAAAAGCAAGGCAAAAAACAATACTACATTAAATTCATTTTTCAACCCACATTGGTGGGTCCCAGCATCATCTGACAAGACCCAGTCCTGTTCCAGTGCATTGAATCCTGCATAAGAAAACCAAATGGGCCCCATACATTCACAATCTTAAAATATTGCCCCTATACTTTGACGGTGGATTGAATGAAAAAGTATTTAAATGAAAAGGACATTCAGGGCTAAAGTCGTATATCATGAATTCATGATAAATCTCAAGAATATAAAATTTGGTCAAAAACATAGTTAGGAAAATATGTTACCCGAAAAAGTTGGATACGAAAGTGCAGGAGTATAATTTTTTTTTTTTTTTAAAGAATATGTTATAAAAATTCAATTAATAAAGATAAAAATATAAAAATACAAATACAAAAAATTTGGTACAAACATTCTTATTTCAAGGAGATTAGTCCTATTTAAAGATGGGAGGACTACTATCATTAGGAGCTCATTTGGCGATCACATAACGTATATTTGTTGCAAGATTTTTTGAAAAAAAAATGAAAACATATTTGATAAAATTGTGTTACAAGTTTGAAAAATTAAATGACTAATAATAAAGGTCATTAAAGTTTTTTTTTTTTTTTGAACAGTACTTTTGCTACCGTGCGGACGCAATCGGAAGTATCAAATAGTTTT